CGCTCTGATGAGTTAAAAATTCTTGCATTGTAATGCTCCTTTCAAATCTGGCAGCGAGGGCAGTTTTCCATGCAGCTCAATCATTATAAATTTTACATCGTGTCATTTGTCAATTTTTGCAGATCCATTTGGGCGAGAAATAGCATTAGTTAGTTTACGATCATCAGACCAATTAGCCAGTGTCCCTATTCTATCTACTTCTTTTATCCATTCAGAAGCATTGTCAATGGCATCTCCTTTAAATATTGATATAGAATTTGTGGTACCATTAGTGGATGTAATTTGGATGATATTTGGTTGACTTACTTGTTTGTCCAATAATTGTTTTTGAGTATCCATAAATGCAGCGAGAATTACAGCAATATTAAAATCTGTTAACGAGAGAGGAGGTGAGGGGGTACATTGAGGAATATCTTGACTGCTTAAAAGTTCCCCTTGTTTTTTTGTAATTCAATTTTAGTAAATAATTCTGTGTAATCGAAGCAGTTTTCTTCGGAATATTGTGTATTGTCATCGTTTGGCGATTGTATACGAAGAGTTAAAAGTTCGTTTAAAGTTCCGTCATCTGTTCTTTTAATATTATTGTAAGCAGCTAAATGTTTCAAGGGCGAGCATAAGCATGACTTGTTGCAACGTGCGTAAATATTGTTTTGGAATTATTATTTTTTTATGTCTAGTTTGGATTTGAATACGATTAAAAAAGATATATTTGAAATATACGTTAAATATCACTTACAATTCAGAAGTGGGATGAAAAGAACGGTAATTTGTTGTTTATGTTTCTTTTCTTTCTTAATTTACGATGTCTTATTTATCTGAAGTACGTAAGTCAGAGTTACAGGTTATTGCAATGGAACTTGGCGAAGAAGTAAAGAAGTACACGATGCTTTTAAGCTTGCAGATCTAAAAAACTTGATTTTAAATAGTAAAAACTATGATGAGGATTTGGTACAAGGAATGATATTCAATTTAAATGCGGATAGAGAAGCAGAGGCCACCGCTGCTGAGAAAGAAGCTATGCGAAAGCATGAATTAGAAATGAGAAAATTGGAACTAGGGAACGTTGGCACTTATTTACCTATTGATTCGCCAAAACCAAAAATAGACTTGCAATCTCAGTTAGGGTACTTTGATTCGAAAAATGACGACATAAGTTTATTCTTAGTGCATTTCGAAAGAGTAATGAAACGAGTTAAAATGGAGCTAAATTTATGGGTGGCTTGTTTGACTAGTGTTTTACCAAGAGATATAGTTGAAATAATCATGCGAGAATCAGAAGAATTAGCGGAAAACTATTCTTATGTGAAGGAATTGTTACTAAAACGATATAAATTAAGTCCTGAAAAATTTAGACAGTTGTTTTATTTGCATAAAATTAAAATTGATAGTACTTGGAGAGAATATTATTATGAACTTGAAACATTTTTTGATGGATGGATAAAAGGTTTAAATATAAAAACAGTGGAAGATTTAAAAAATTTAATTATATTAGACAGAATTAAGCAAAGTGCACCAACAGCAGTTTAAGAATATTATGTCAGTGAGTGGTCCTTGTTGAAGTCGCCAATGTTATTAGTGAATAAAATTGACGATTATATTGAACTGAAAGAGTTGTACTAAAATAACTCTCAGGTACCCTCTCTATATGATCAATTTGGAGTAAAAAGAAATGATCAAGTTATTAGAATCAAAGGGTTAGACTCCATAATATTTTATAATTGTTCTGAAAAAGGACATCATTCTCGTGACTGCTCTAAGCCAAAACGTCCAAACTTGTGTACATTTTGTCGTACAGAAGGACACGGTGCGAAAGATTGTCCAAAGAAAATTAGTAAACCGTCAGTAAATGTTTCAACGTTATCACCCATTGAAAACTAATTACACTGTTCTTGTACGTGGGATAACTACAAGTGCTTTAATAGATACAGCTGCCGTCATGATTAAATAAACATTCTCTAATGAGATAGGAGTCTATAATACACATAATGGTGACGTTACGATCATACGAGGAGTTGGTGGGTTGAGAAAATCATTAGGCTCTTGCGCAATAAATTTAACCATTGACAGACTGATACTAAATGATGTAAAACTACAAATTGTTTGCAGACGAAACGTTTCCTGGACCTCATTGGAAAAGATATCCTAGATATGCCAGATCTAATGATGGTTAGAAAGGAAGGAAAATCAATGCTGTTTAGTGTAAATGAATTTCCATGTTTTGAGAATTTTGAAATTGAAGATTTCAAAGACGCTATTCTCAAAATATCGGAACCAGTAAAAATTCTGCCAAACACAGTACAAATGGTAGAAGTAATCAGCAATGGAAACCAAACCGGTAGTGAAGAAATTTTTATAAGTAAACATGAAAATGATTATGCCTGCTTGATAAAAGATGGTAAGGCTAAATTACCAATCGCGAATTTCAGTGAAAGCAAACTTCATCTTAAGAAAGATCGCATTCTTCTAAGAGGCAAATGGCTGACAGATTTTACTCGTGATAATACAGACAGCTGTAAAGAGAGTAAAATGGCTTTAGTTAACAAAAATATTAAAAGAGAACCTATTCGATGCGACGATATAAAAGTTAATCCAACTGTAACAATAGATCAGAAGCAGTAAATAAGTAATTTGCTAAATGAGTTTAGAATGTGTATAGCTCTGACGCCTGATGCGTTAATAATACAGTTATGCACATTACTGAAAAACCTGGAAGCTCACCAGTTTCTCGGTCGCCATACCGTACTTCACAAAATGAAAGAGAGATTATGCGTGGCATAGTTAGCGATATGAAGGAACAAGGCATTGTTCGAGATAGTTCATCGGAATATAGTAGTCCTGTATTGCTTGTAAAGAAGAAAACTGGAGAACATCGAATGGTTATCGATTATAGGAAACTTAATTCTCAAACCGTGAAAGACAAGTTCCCTTTACCGTGTACGATGATCTTTTGGATCAACTATCAGGATTCAACTTATGCATACTTGATGCTTGTCAAGGCTTCAATCAAATACCTACGGATAATGAATCATCTGCGAAAAGCCGCATTTATTACACCTGATGGTCACTTTGAACCCACACGTTTATTTTTTGGATTGTCTAATGGTCCAGCTGTTTTCCAACGATACATGTCAAGGGCACTCGGTAACCTACTGTGGAAAGGCTTTATTGGCGACATTTTTTTCGAATCTGTGGATTTTAAGGATATGATTTTAAAACTTAGAGCAGTACTTCAAAAATTAAGTGATGCTGGAATTACGTTAAAGCTGTCCAAATGTGAATTTGCTGTGTCTGAAGTTCAATATTTGGGATTTATTGTTAGTTCAGAAGGAATTAAACCGGGTCCAAGAAAAGTTGCTGCAATTGCAAAATTCCCTGCTCCGCGATCAGAGCATGAACTTTGACGATTCTTAGGTTAGACTGGTTTTTTTCGCCGTTTTATAGAAAGATACGCTGCCAACGCATCACCACTTACACGTTTGCTTAAAAATGGTCAAGCATTTACATGGAATCCCGAGCATCAGACGGTGTTTGAGAAATTGCTGACCATGTTAACGTCTGAGCCAATTTTGAAATTATTTGACCCTCGTGCTGAAACTGAGCTTCATACAGACGCAAGTTCTTCAGGAATGTTACTTCAACGGGATTCAAATAATGCCATGCGTTTAGTTTATTGTGCAAGCAGGCGCACTTCTCCCGATGAAGAAAACTACCATTCAAGCAAATTAGAACTGTTAGCTGTAGTATGGGCATGTAGCCGTCTTCGGCCATCCTGCATAAGTATGACTTGTTATAAGTATGACTTGTTACTTTTTTGCATTGCTTTTACCACGTACGATATGGGTGTTTTATTCACTTTTATGTAATATATCGTTTTTACTCTTTTAATTATGATCTTTGTGATTTTCCATGCGTTGGCTGGATTTAGAATCATGTTTTTAACTGTTGTGTTTTATTCTTTTTATTACTGTTGTTGATATAATTTCTGATGTATGCTACTCTATGTATGCCCTTAAATAGGGCGGGTCGAGATACAAATAAACAATGATTTGTTGCAACGCGCGTAAATATTGTTTTGGAATTTTTATGTTTTTTTATGTCTAGTTTGGATTCGAATACGATTAAGTAAAGATATATTTAAAATATACGTTAAATATCTCTTACATTATCATTAACTAAACGCGATATTAAGCCATTTTTCTTTCCCCTGAGTGAAAGATTTCTTAATGGCAAATCTGATTTTAAGGGGACACGGGACCTTTCAAATGAAAATTTATGAAAACTTTTTTTTTAATTTAATTTTACTATTATGAACTATCGTATCGAAAAAATTTGAACAACACGTGGTTCAGGCTGACTATCTTAACATTTTTAACAAAAAAAAAAATTTTTTTTGAAAATTTTATGATTTCAAGGTCCCGTGTCCCCTTAACTCGGCCACAGTTAAATGAATCCGTCATTCCACATTCAAGACAGTATTCGCGTCTGTTGACATCTTGGTGAAGAAAAGTGCAGCGAGGGGAATCTGTTTTGGCCACGTCTGTTACTAAGAAGTTTGGCGAGTAGAAATCAATATTTAAGGAAATGCAATTTTCAATTTTTTTTCAGTGAAATTTCATTTTTTGTTAAAATAGGATTACCTGAGTGAGTTGCAACCGATGACGAATTCTTTTTTGCTTCCTTAGCAGTCAGAATTTCATGAGAAGCATTTAAAATGTAACGATAGAATGACGATGTTTAAAGAAGAAGAAATAGAAAGGTTCTTTTTTAAAAAGTCGGCTGCGCCATATAAGGTAAGATTGAAAGACAAGGAATTTAGTTTAAATGAATCATTTGTATGAAGCGAGAGTGTCAACATTTACTACACGGGGATTCTTCGACCGGCAAGCATCGAACTCACCACGTCTTGGACATGGGCCCAACGCCCTACCAACCAGGTTGTCCCGGCACCATAAGATTCTATATTGATTATGAGAGAATGTTAATGGTATTTTTTCCCTTACCATTTCCATCATGTCAGCAGCAGTAGGGAGACCCCCAGCCTCTCTCTCATTTCCAAGAGCACATTTGCTCCTGTATTTGTTATGCTCTCTCAGAATCTCTTCTTTCTCTTGAAATGACTGCAATCCTGAAGAGAAGATTGTGCACTGGGGATTTCGAGATTTGCAGAAAGAGTGCTCCGGACTGAATCGTTTATAAATCAAAGGACATTGAGAAGAACACAGCAAAGGAACAAAGATGAGTCCGAAGAGGCTGAAGAGGAGAAACATCTCTCTGGAAATCTAATCTGAGGAAAAAGTAAAATCAAGTTTTGCTTTTTTATTAGCTCTAACATTACACTACTGAAGGTTATCCAGTATTTTAAAGCTCTTTACTGGATCATAAAAATATATTAAAAAAGAAACCTGAAATTGAAAAAAAATATTGAGTTATTTAGTTCCTGTACTGTAATCACGATATGCAAAATATTGTTTTTATTTCAAAGATAATTTAAAATTATGGGTTTTATATACTTTATATTTATTGAAAAGTATTTTCAGATTTTATTTTTTTCCGTTTTTGCAAAATCGATTAAAACTGTTTGAGGATATGGTTTATCAT